CCAGTATTTATTCGTCCGGCCCAATTCTGCAGGTGCAAACCAAGAAGAGTCTGGATATAAAAGCCCTCGGCCTGGATATGGGGGCGCACGACCCGAAGATGATTCATTTGGCAACAGGCCGGAAATTGATGATCGAAGGCCCGGTTTCAACAAAGGCGATTTGGGATACGAAGGCAGACCTTCCAGGCCTTACTATGATAGTTTGAGGCCTATTGGATATAAACCGCAAGAACATCATGATTTGATAGAGTGAGTAGGTGGAGGGAATGTGATCTTTTCATTGATTAAGTTCGGATCAGTGAGGGCATTTTTTGCAACCCAATCTTCTAAAAATTAAGATTTGTTCCATTTTAAAGACACGTTGAGAAATTCACTCAAACTTAAAAACCCAACTTGAAGACACTGAGAACTCACAGTTGCACAAAAATAAGCGAAATACCGATGAGTTTACATACAGTTGCATTTTTTTCTGTAGCAACCACAAGCCAAATAAGGCTTCAAACCCGGACTACAATCCGGCATCCAGATATCCAACGAAAAGTCCAGCATCCGCCAATCACAGGCCAGCTTCAACCGAACTGACCAATCACTATGAAGGCAACTACAATGATAAGCAATATGGAAAGCCGCATGCTTATAACGAAAAGGGAAGCATCAAAGTGGTGGCTCAAAATGTGGGTTACAATGGAGAAAAGTTTACTTCCATTATTACCGAACTGGAAAATGGTAAGTCGTAAATCTGATATTAGGATCATCATTGGTTATGCGTACTGCCAGTACACACCATCGAAAATTGTAATTGTAAATCGCTGCAGCCTTCGGCTTTATTGCTGCACTCATAGATACCGATCTGTGACAAATGATGATGTAAGCAGCGCATAATTATGCAGAATTTGCATACTTTTTGAAACCGTAAAAGCAGAATGTTTCTTGCAGGTTTTTCCTTTTCCATCAATCCATCCGGATGTTTAATGCACACCAATTTTCCTCTCCTAATTGCCCCATTGTTTCTCTGATTAAAAGTTTTCATAAATTAGTTCCAAATAACGTTATAATCAGCTTAATAGTCTAGCTAGGCTATTTATTAAATATTTGAGATTGCAAACTGGATTTTCCCATCGTAATTAATCAAAGATTTTAGTAAAAAGCTTCAAAAAGTGAATAGTTCAATCATATTCAAATGATGGTATGATTATGTAAAAACTTGTTACAGTGCTGCTGAATATTCGGCTTAAAAAGCCCGAATTGATTTTTTTGCAAATCTTGATTAATTCCCTCCAGATGCTTGCAGCAAAAAGTGTTGTTAACCTTGTACTTGAACAATATACTCCATTTTAAGGCGCATTAGTTATGGTAGGTATAATTTGAAATGCCGCATTAATATTGCGCGGAAAAATGATGACACACCAGCAAAGCGCCAGTTATTTCATAACATTTGCAAATAATTTGCATTTTCTAGTTCCTCAAACAGAAGCTACAATTTATTCAAATCCTCAAAAATAAAATAAAAAATGATCGATAGCTATAAACATTCAAAGCGCTTGAAATGTAAAAGTCTTACCCTTGTTTTGAAACCTTCGCACAACCAGATTTTAATATATTTGGAACTAATTTGGTTAGACGCCAATTAGGTTCGTATCATCATGTTCTCAACGCGAAATAATCCGGAACATGCAAAGACAATCGTGATAATCCAGCAAAAAATGAGTCATTAATCTTCTGAGAAAAGGAATTGAGTTCAAACCATTCCAAGGAAACAAATCGCAAATTACTGAAAGCGCTTTGCTTTCAGCTATTTTTTCAGCAACTTTGAAAGCACTGAACGCAATTTTTATTTTATGCTTTTAAGCTCTAAGGTTTGCGTTTTTAACGGTTTATTTCTCTTCAAGAATTGTTATTTAATTAAAATATTTAACCAGATAACAATCTAATCAAAAATAAAACGAAATATAAAGAGTCATAGTCACTAAGGCACCGACTTTGTCTCTCTCTATTAAAAAATCGATGATTAATTCGCTTCGAAGGACCAAAATAAGTGCGGTAAGCAAAAAATACCGGTGATTTTTAATTACATTCGATATTTTTGAAATAACGCACTTATTTTGGTCCTTCGAAGCGAATTAATCATCGATTTTTTCGGATTATTTCGCCGTAAAAATTGTTATTTAATCAAATAACTAACAAAAACTAAAAATTTGAAAAGACCATACGCACATTCCACCTATTCTACGTCTCGAAATCCCGAATAATCATAGTCACTAAGAAGACACAGCGGATTGTCTGATTTATTCAAAAAAAAAAAACGCGTTTTGGTCCTTCGAACCAAACTAATATATTTTTTCCGATTATTTCGAATTATTTCTATTTAATCGAATAACGATTTGTTGTTAGTTCTCAATTGCAAAATTAAATTCCACTGTCAGTTGGATGAATCTGTGTGTGTGTGAAGAAAAAAAGCGCATCAAACGCATCGAAAAAAAAGGTCAATCATTAGAGCAATCGTTATCCTTGAATCGAGCGCATAAAATCAAAAAAAGCGCTTTTACGGTATCCAGTTGTAATAATGGTACCGATCCATCGGTACCATCGGTTGAACCCCCATTGTGCATTGTTTTAACGGCGAAGTTATATAAGCAGCATCGATCACTAGCGGACAGTTAGAAAGAAAAATTCAGATTTTTCCTTCGATCCCCCGACTTCGACTGGTGTTTATGAGTGAATTGTATAAAAGCGATCTTGTTCTTTATTGGGATAAAATTGCGCAAAATATTCACTTTTGTATGGTAATTTTTCGCCTGGGAAATTCTGTCTTTTACATTACCACATGGTCAAGTGGGAGTCTTAGTGCGTTGAAATTTAGTTAATTGCGGCCAGCCAAAATGAGTGGTTAGTGTTTTTTTGGCTATTTTGCGATGTTTGGATGACGGACTAAAGAAGCAAAATGATAGTGTTTCGGACTAGTGTCGCCTTGTCTGCTGCTCTGTGTTGCTTGCTTATTGTTAATGGAACTATCATCGTTATTGAGGATGCTAAAGGTACCAGAAACCCATTTTTAGGCATTAATTAATTAATCCAACCCAGGTTGGTTGCTTGTGCACATAGCAAATTGCTAATTTGTTCATTAAATTCATTAATAGACAATACAATTGCGATCGCTATCAACGTATCCGACCTTAACAATAAAATTCTTACCCACCAAAAACAATGATTTAGAACTTGTGGTGTGAAAATCTTGCGCTGCTGCCACGATAATATAAATCACCTTGGCATAGACACCAATAATGGGTCTAAATGAGTAAACCCAGACTGAGCACTCAAACTTTTGAGTGGAAAAATGTACGGAAGTTGTTCTGGTAACGCTTATCAACTTTTCCAGCTTGCTTTCACCGGACAATGGCTGGAAAACGGGCCGTGAGAGGTTTGGTGAGAAAGTTATCAATTTGTGAGACCGTCGAACAGTGCCAACAAGAATGCGGCGACGAGAGAAGATTTACGTGCGAAGGATTCAACTACAGGTGAGCCCCAATGGAGCCAATTCTAGAAAATTTTGTTCGAAACCCATCAGAAAACTCGGTCAAGGTTCCGATGAAGGTTTTCCAATGGGCTTTTCATTGAAATCCCGCATGCGGAAATGCATTCACAGTTTAATTAGTTGTGTACTTGATATGGTCGCTTTAATTGCAGTTTGCTCATCATTACTTTTTACGGCGTTTTGGCGCAAACTTTTCTCGTTTTTTTGAGATTTTCAAAATTCAAACAATAATCCGTCAGCTAGCTTTAATTTGCGGGTTTGCGATTCGAAAGGTTTGCAAAAACGACTTTGATGAAGTCGAATGAACATTGCAAAACCTACAAGCTAAACCAGGCGTTGAAACTTTAGAGCTCCAAAGCGCCTCCAGGCAGCTCTAGTTGCCACAATGCAAAAAAAACGAGTAAAAAAGTAAAATTCCAGGCTCGATCCAAGCGGACGTGGAAAAGGTGAATGTGAACTGCTGGATTTGCCGCTATCCAGAATCGACCTCATCAGAGAAATTGTGCCAGACCAGCAATACGATTTGTATACCAGAGATCGGAATTCTGCCCAAGTCAATTGCCGCCTTCCTCCAGACGCATTCCCAATGGGAAGCTACGGAAATGGCCATCAGTATGGGAGTGACGAAAACATGCTTAGACCTTATGGTAAGTTTAGCCCCAAAATTCAATGTCCAAACCCGCCCAAACTGTCGTAATTTTCCAGATAGGCGACCACCTGGTATAGCGAGGCCTCCAAAAAGACCCGCTGGAGGTTGGGAGGACGAATATGGAGGCCCTCCAAGACCAATTCCAATCGATCCGCTCCCGCTTCCCCCAGCTAACCGCAAACCCGAGTACGATGATCGAAGAGGAGGTAAATATGTCCCACAAACTTTCATTTGGGATGTGTTGTGTCTGCGCCCTATCATAAGGATGTAGATTTTCGAAAAAAACATTCTTTGAAATATTTACTAGCCAGTTACTCAATAGGTTTAAAATAAGGGCAAAGGATTGAACGACTAAGGCGGTTCTAAGGCTAGAGGTAATTGCCACTTTAGTGCATTATGAGAAAGTTTGCTGTAAGGGGGCTTAAAAAATCACGCTGAACGAGCCAGAAGGGAAAATATTAGTGATTCAGCTTGGGAAAGTATTGGTTGTGCGGCGGTTTCATAATTTAAGAGTGTACGACTCTCAATTAAACAAGTACTCCAGACTAGGGCTCGGAATCAAACTCGAATAAATCGAGTATTGGAATATTCAAAAAGCGAATAATTATGTCTAGTCATAACTCGAATATTCGAATACTCGAATACACCAGCATTATCAAACTAACAAGGTGCAAATATCTTTATCCCACATAGCAAAATGATATTCTCAGAATATACCTGGAACATTCATGTGATGTACATGCATATTCCTGGGACATACATGAGTTACATTATGAACATTCCATGCATGTCCCAGGAATCT